GTCATATGAGCTGATCCTTTATTATGGGTTTGGGTAGGGGTTTTTTTTTTAATTTTTGGATGGCAGGAGCGAGGACATAGGAACCATGGCAAATATAAGCCTGATAGGATTTCTTCTCTTCTATGTCTCAGACTTCTGATAAGCTGAAAATATTCTAAATACACTCAAGAATTTATAATTTTCAATTCTCACTCCACAAATGGTACAGTGAATGTTTTCTTTAGAACATCCTGTGATTAATAGTCTGGAACAGTTTTGCATTGGAATGAAGGAATTTTACATAGTCCTTCATATGTATCTTTATACTGGTGTGATTAGTCTTGCTGATTTAAACCTTCAATACAAACTGTCTTTGCAATACCTCTGATTCTAGAAAGCCTTACGACCTGACATGGGCTACAATACCCTTGCCAATTTCCGAATAGAGAAGAAGATTGGCCGTGGGCAGTTCAGTGAAGTTTACAGAGCAACCTGCCTGCTGGATGGGGTACCAGTGGCTCTGAAGAAGGTTCAGGTAAGGATAATTTTTATAAAAATATTAAAAGGATTGGTACAGTTAAATTTGAAAGGCATGTGGCATTCTGGTGTGATTTTAATGAATTTTTAAACGTTTAGAGATAGCAGGGAATTAAGAACTTCAAAAATTCATGTGTGACGTTATATAATATTTCACAAACCAGTGTTTTGAAATTGAAAGTAAAGTCCAGAGTTGCTGAAAAAGATAACACATATAAATGAGCTGTATTTCCTGACCAAAACTTGGAATCTAGAAATAACATGAATATTTAGTGGTGTCTAATGTGAAAATATATTATGCAAATCCTAGCATTTTTTATTGAATAAACATCTAAATCAAATAAGGTCTGTATGTAATGAAAATTGTAATAGTGAAAAGGAGGGGAGTTACTGTTTCAAAAGACTGAAAACTACCTGAGACAAATACAAACCAAAACTGTGCTTGAATCTGTTGCTCAGAATTTCGTTCAGATTTTGGGATACAGCTCAGTTCATATGATCATCTTCATGAATAATACATCTGTGTGTGGGACTCTACATGGTAATTAAATGCAAGCGCACTGTGGATCTAAGTGAATTGCATTGGTCAAAAATTTTTCTCGAGGAGCCTGACTTTCCAAGTTTCATGGTTTAGCCAGTAGTGAAACAGCAGATGTCACATAAGATGGAAGAGCAGCAGGCTAATTAAGTTACTATGGCCAAGAAGCATTAAGCCCAGCCCTTGTCAGTTTTAACATAAGAAATGGACTAATTATTTGTTCAGATACTTTGTCTTAGCACTTAGCAATTTTTAAAATGTTTGAATCAAAAGCAGCAGTTTAAATGGAAACACCTTTTGAGACTGAAACATTTCCACTGTCACACAGGCAAAAGACAGCTCGAGCTATGCCTCTGTCTAGTCTCATTTTCATTCTCTCTTTTTGTTTGGAGCTGCTCAGAGGTGTTAGTTGTAAGACCATTACCCTCTGGATTTACTATGAAAGTTCTCTGACGTTGTGTTTAATTTTGAAATCAAAACTTAAATTGGTGTTTTACTTTTGATCTTGAGGTAAGTTTAGTACAATACTTGAAGGAGTACTGCCATCAGATCTGAAAGGGTATTTTTGCCTTTATAGACTGCAAGACAATATGTGTAGTATTCTGTAGATTGTTTTCTAGAGTTTCTGCATTTTAGTAGTTTTGTTTTTGCTGTGTTAAATGCATGCACTGTAAATTTCTCTGTCATATCTTGACTTGCTGTTCTGTTTCTGTGATTTCCTGTGTGCTGCAGCACCAAGAGGCAGGGTTAGTCCTGGCAGTCATAAAAAAGGAGTCTTGGTTCCCCCTTCTGGGAAAAGTGCCAGATATATACTACTTCAAAAGCTGAAATATATTCTGAGAACTTTGATCAACAGTCTTAAAACATTAGGCTGATTCTTCCTTCATTTTCAGCATGTGAGAAACCAAAAAGGTCAAATGTGACTTGAAATGCATGTCAATTAAGGTGGATGTGGAATGCCTGGGTACTTGAAGAAAGTCATAAAAGTCCAACCATGAAATTTTTATAACAGTGCTTGCATTAGGAATACAGAGGCATTTTAGCATGTGTACTCCTAACAGCATTTCAGAAGTCAGTATGTGCAGCTGTATTCTCACAGCAGACTTCCCACTTTGACAGAAGATTTTTTGGATGTCTGAAGATGACATCATACTGTCCTTATGCAGGTCATGGTTTCTACAGCAGAACAGCTTTCCTACTTAATTTTCATTTAATCCTTTAATAATTTTCTAAGAATATACTTAGTTGTTGGTGGGAAATAGTGTTAAAAAGTTATGCCTTTCCCAAATGGCTTTATTTTGACAGGGTTTTAATTGTCTTTAAGTGTCCAACATCGGTTGTTGATTTTCCAGTAGAAATTATTACCTAGGGCTGTCGCCCTGATTTTGTAAGACTTTGTTAAGCCTTCTGATGTTTACATTCTTTCAACAAACTTCCTCACACACAGTTCTGTAAATAACCTATGTTTTGCATTCTTTCATGGAGGTAGAGAGAATTGATGGACCCTTGGTCTGTCCAGGGGCATTGGAGAGGTGGCACTGTCACCCTCCAATCCACTGTCACCTTTGGAAAACTATAAATGTTGGAGTCAGAAAATAAAGGTGCTTCTTTTTTGTTCCCCTCGAGAGCAGCAGTGTCTGGGTCATCATTTCGTGTCTTATCACAACATAGGGCACATGAGGAGGGGCTGTGTTCTGTGTAAAGTCACTTTCCTTGTGGAGGCGGGATGTGTGTAGGACACGACTGTCTGAATGGAAAGTGAGACTTGCTTAACCTGGAAGGGGAAAAACTTCCTAAGCATATAATGACAGCTCAGAATGCTCATGGCAGCACAGGGTGTTTGGCACAGCCATTCCAGCTTGCATAATTGATATCTAAAGATGTTCTTTTTGGACAGAAGACCATCTAAATCAGTTACTGTGCTCCTGTGACCTCTCCTAACATTGCCTAGAAATATTTTTGGTAAATATAGTCACAATACTTAATTTCACTATAAAATTTATTTTCATAGATGGCTTGTATTGAGAAGTAATTACTTTTCAGAGGAGCTGGAAAATGGGTCTGCTCTGTGGTAGTGCTTCTTCCTTTTGATTTCAGTCATGTTTGATTTTATTGAAATTAAAATACTCCTTTTTTTCTGATGCCTTTTTAATGGAAGCTCAGCATGGACAAAACAGGAGAAATGCTTCTTTCAGTTATGAGAGAGGGGCTTTATTCTCTCTATTTTACACCTGTGCATGAATTTCATGCTACCTAAAGATAGTGTCTCTAAATGCTCTACAGTGTGCTAAGTAACATAACTGAGATGTGAACTTGCACTTTTCCGCTATCTGCCCATTCTCATCTCATGTCTTCTCACATCTTGCATGCCTTCCTCCCTCTCCAATCTTGCAAGTCATGTCTGTGCCATCCCCTCCCCATTTCATTTTCCTGCCTGGGTTAGGTGTGTACTTGTTTCCTTTTTGTGTATTTGGTAATGGTACCCCATGTGTGTCTCTACTGTCAAGGGCTCATAGGGCTTAGAATCCTTCAGTTATCCTCTCCTGGAGTTGCAGGATCTCAGGCCGTTACTTGTTCCTAAAGCATTGCCAGTTTTGAGTTCTTATGAAGCTTTCCAACAAGAATGTTTATTTTTCGCTAATAAAATTTTATTTGGCTGAAATATGTACAATATTGATAAATGTTATATTAATGTGTACAAAATGTATGTTTGTGGAATAAAATGTGAGCAGAAGCAAGTAGCAGTAAGAAGCTGTGGGAGAAAGGACAAGCAGATGGTGACAGAAACCACTCTTCCTGAATTTGCAGTTGCTGCTGAGTCCAGATGACAGAAAGAAGTAGTATTCTTGATTTGGTATTTATTAGGGTGTGTAGCACAATGAGAACTGTTTCAGGTTTTTTAATAGTAACTTAACCAGCAGAATTCCCAAAATGGTATGTTGGGTCTTTTCTTCCTGTTGTGCTTCCTTTGTTCTTCGTTCTCCCATGGTTGATTTGTGTTTTTGTAATTAGGAAGGTAATAATTTGGTTATCTCTTTTTCTAGCATGGAGCTGTTTTTCTGAGATGCTGTTAAAATATTACCTAAATAAAAACAGAAAAAAAAAAGCATATCTTCACTACTGAACTTTTACAAATGTCTAAGCTATATTTTGAGTTAAAGAAACATCAGAAAAGATCAGCCCCAAGTAAGCTATGACCGTAGCAGTGTAAATTGAAAAGTTTCTAGGTAAGTTTCTTAACAGGTGCTAAGTGTCAGATCCAAACTGTGCTGCAGATGATGCCTGAGGAAGCAGCAGTGCCCCTCAGCTCCTGCAGCTCTGGGTAACCCCTGCAGTGCAGTGTTCTGGGCAAGGACCTCTCCAAGGGCAAAGTAAGCAATTACTGATCACAAATCTTTAAATGACAAAAGAGTGGTAAATATCTAAGTCAGTGACTGTAAGACTGGATGAGTTCACTTTAGGAGCTATTTTTAAAGGAAACCTTAGCAACTCAAAATTTCAAGTATGTAAAGCTGTGTATATCAAGAAAATTTCAGATTAATTGCATTTCTGCCTTACATTGCTCCATCTTTCTTTTCCTTTAATTCCAAAATTGGAGGCCCCATGTTAGAGATTCAGACAATGAATCCTTTTATCTAGGACGTACATTCATTATTCATTGTACATTGTCAGTGGATTGCTACTTCAGGCCTGAATTACAGTTAATTAATCTTAGAAAAGCACTTGTAATTCCACACTTTATGAAGTACTCTTGTCCTAGCACAGCAGTGCTGTGGTGGCAAAATACTCTAATGCTTGTTGCTGTTCAGTATTGTATCTCTTAATATTTATGTGTGTTCGGGTCTTTATTTTGCTTACTTCTCTGAAGGTTTATGTTACAGCAGTCATACTTGGGATTTGGTTTGGAAATGCTTTTTGGTATTTTTATTGTATACAGAATTTTGAACAGAACACACATAGGTTGATAATTTAAATTTATCCTTTTCAATGCTGGAAAGGAAAATCTGGAAAAGTGATGGTCTATAGCAAGTGGAATCAGATTCCCAACTTGGCATTTCACTTCAGATGATGGATGTGGTTGGTAGCTGGTAATTGATCAGATACAGTCTGAACTTAGAAGCTAGGCCTTGATGTTCTCCATCAGGTGGTTCCATGTGGTTCTAAACCTTTTTGCTATGCCCATAGCTTTCTGGGGATGTGTATATAAGAATTTCACTCAGGAAGTTAAACTCAAGTATTGCAACTCCTTTGTTTAGTTTACACATCTGCATAGGAACAGTTCCCGCTCTGAAGCTTATAACAGCTTAGGAAGTATTCTAAAAATACCAGTATCTCTTGACAGTACTTACAACTGACATTTCTGGAATGCTGAAAGAAAAAGGCTATAATCTATGCTTACATGAAGGTACTAGAGAAGAGATTGAGTGCAAAGTTACCAGAGATCCCTTAGTTGCATAGCACACAGAAGTGTGATAACTACCAATATATCTTTGTCCTTCTACTCTTCCTTTGTACACAGGTGATTGCAGGATGAGATGAAAAACTGAGAGCTAAAAAGGTTTATTTCACTCAGTGAGCTTGCTAAGTGGGAAAAAAAACTGATAAGGGCTTTTAAGATGCTCCTTTAAATCTCTTCAGCTGTATTTACCTAATTGTTTTAAGGAGTTTCACCCTTAGTAATTGCTAACTAAGGTAAAAAGCTTACCACTATTAGACGTTTTGATTACATTCTTTATGAAAACTGTCACATCATAAAAATATTTACTATGTTGTTTGCTGCTGATTAGGTTTTTTAATACAATCATAATTCATTTTTAGAATTGTTAATCTTGTTATAGTCCTTGAAAATAGAAATTGGGGGGAAAGAATTAAAAGTTTAAATAAGAATATATGACACTTTGCAGTTTGTGCTGTGTGGAATTGGTGCTGACTAGAGAAGCTTACCTCCAAACTGAATTACCCTGTGATCCTGACCTCATAAGTGGAGTCAAGAATTCGAATTATTGTTAGTCTGATTAATACCCTAGGAGCCTAATCTAAATACAGTAGTTTTTATGATTAGCCAGTTACAGTGATGATAACACTTGTTGTCTAGTTACTGCTAGTTTCCAATAATCGATATATGGAGCATCATCAGTGACCTGAGCTCTGCTGGGAGGAGGATGCTGGTAGTGAGACTTTGCTGGGTCTGATTTCAAACAGTCAGTTTGTGTTGATCCAAATGCTTATTGTTCAAGCCTATCCAAAAATCCACAGTTTTTTTAGACTTTTCTTGTATCTGCTGTAATTTCTTCCAGTCCGTGCAGTTGCACAGAGCTGAGCTGGATCTAAAACCAGGTTAGAAACAAGTCATTTGACTGCAATGACTTAGGTACAGTGAAGTTGCTCAGCTGCAGGGATGTGCTGCTACAACTAAAACCAAGCTCAGAAAACGAGTGCAGTCCCAGGGAGGGCTGGACAGAAGGTTGCAAGTCCTTGGGCAGTGTGTCTCTGGGGTGGGTGGGACCTGTGTCCTGCTGATGGCTGTGGGGTACTGTCTGTGCAGTGAAGGTGATGTGTGTGAGAGAGATCTGTGTGCAGCACTCCGCTGAGCATGGGCTGACCTTTCAGCTGGGCTTGCTGAGTCACAGGAGCTGAAGGTGGAAGGAATCTGCCCACAAAGGTGTAAAGTGTTCCAGTGGTGATGGAAGTACTGCCATCCCTCCACAGTGTTACACTGATGGCCAGTCTGCAGCAAACCATGGGCAAAGGGCAGCCTCTCCTGCTGAACAGAGCTCAGAGTGCGGCCAGGTGCCCTGTGCAGTTCTGACATGCACTTGAAAGGATGTTCTTCAAGTCTTTTGTTGCCACTTCCATTTCTCAGGGTAAGACGTTCTTCAGTGTTGAGTCATCTGCTGGTGAGGAACACGGAGGTTTTTTCCTTGTGTTTACAGTAACCTCCTTGTGTGAGCTGACATGGCTTGGTACACAGGCATCCTCTGGTCTGAACTGCAGCAGTTTGGCAAAAGTTCATCTATTCAGAGAGAAAATCTCTGAAAGCTTTTTGCATCTGGCGTGATTCGGAGGTTCTTCATAGACCATGGATTGAATGATATTTTTCACCTTTTTTAGTTGTTTTTTTTTTACAGATCTTGGTGGAGGAAGTTAATGTCCGTGCAACTGAAATTCTGGATTTCTGGGAAATGCTGTTGGTAGTCTTTTGAGGTTACATCTAGATCAAAATCTGAGAACCACAAGAATGCTAAACAGTAAATCTTAAGATTGTTTGTATTTGTGGTTGTATGGATCAGATAAGACTTATTTTTACTGCCTTGCTATATTTAATTTAGGTAATTTCTGAAATACTCAGTTTAGCTGAAGCTGTGACAAATTTGCAAAGATGCTTATGAAGTGCAACACAAGTAGAGGGAGTCATGTTTATAAAACTTAATTCTGTCCTTTGGGGAGAGCAGCTGCTTGGTCTAGTCTATTCCATGCTGTTTAATAACAAATGAGAAGTACTGGGAGTACTATCCAGAATACACAAACAAAATTTTGTCTTTCTTTCCTATGCCTTGATTCTAGATGTTTCACAGACCTGGGTCTACGGTTTTGATTTTGTTGTTTTGTTATTGCTGTATGAGATGCACTAATTTATGTCCCTAGCAGAGGCAGAGATTGTAAAAAAACTTTTATTGGAAAACCTGTGTGCTTAGGTGTGTAGGGAATTGTTCCTGGAATAGGTAAATTAGTGTGCCTCTTGGCATATTGGAACACACATGAACAAGTGCAAGCTGCCCTGTTTTGTCACACAATGAAGCTCATTTGGTTTGAATCTTGAAACTGTGTTTCTGGTAGTTTTCCCAATCTTACAAGGAGATCGTTTTTGTACACTTTTTAGTCTGAAATTCTGTCCTGGGTTTTGGTTAGGTTTTTCAGGGTGTTTGGACTTGAATCTCTGTATCACTTATAAGGAATGAACTTATCTCACCGTTGTCTAGAACTCAGAAAAATTGAACCCTCAAGATGCTCTCTTGTACCTGTTCCCTTTTTTCCCTGGCTTCCTGGTACAGTTTCATTGGTTGTTTTTGGGAGATGCTGTATAAATTTTTCTGTTTTCTGGTCTCTCAGGTTATAACAAAAAATATTTTATTTTATGCCTTCTCAGTATTTCCTCAGTTAATATGCTACCTGTAATATTTAGGATTTTCTAAAATGTTTCCTAGGAAAATCATTAGACTCCCTATGACTGTAGCAAAGAAGTTGGAGATTATTTTTTTTTTGTTTCGTTGAATTCAGAAATTAATCACAAATGAGAGAGGAAGGATTCTTAGAGGAAGTAGCATTTTGGTAATTTTTAAGGGAAATAGTGTATGGAGGTGCACATTACTGAAGTGAAAACCCAGAGGTAGTGAAAAAGGGAGTGAAAATAGACATTACATTAAATACAGATGTGTAGAATTTGGACAAAGACTCTAATGGTAGAAAAAAGTGCTTCAAACAAAAATTGAAATTAGTGAAGAGTAATTCTAATTCTCCAGGCTAACTGGAGAAGGCAAAAATGAGATACATTGCAAAATAATTTGGAGTAGTTACGAAATGGGGGAAAAAAAGAAGAGCAGAGATGTCTAACTGTAAAAGCTTATAAAAATCAAGGTCACAGATGAGGGCTTACAAAAAAGGGCTCTAACAAACAAATAGCATAACCCAAGACACTTCTTTGCTGGCTGAAGGGAAGGAAATAGGAGAGAAGGAGTTGGAGGTGACAATGAAGTTTTGATCCCAAGAGTAAAATAATATGCATTATTTAGAATTGAAATGGAAGACGGTAGCAAGACTAAGGGGAAAAAAAGGTCTGCTCAGTACTAAGGAATCAGTTTGTGAAAAAGGTGTGGCAGAATGGGATAGGAGCCTGAGATTTGAAGCATTTATAAGGCTGCTAAATTATTGCTGTGTGTTGGAACAGATATGCAGAGGTGGCAATTAAGTAATTGGAAAGCTTGCACTTAAAATGGATTTGTTTCCTATGAGGGGGCTAAAAGAATGGCCACAGCACTAAATCAGGACATCACAGCATTAGAAATATTTCTTCCTGTAATATTACATCTTGTCATGAAATGCATAATTCAGGTTGCTTTATGGATGCTGTGAGATAATGATGATGATTACTCTATTTACTGTATTTTTATCACTTAATAAAAATGTTTTATCTCTTGTGCACAGATATTTGATTTAATGGATGCCAAAGCCCGTGCTGACTGCATCAAAGAAATAGATCTTCTTAAGGTAAAAGATTTGTTTAGAAAATGTGCAACCATCATCAAAAAAATGTGGTATGTTTTTCATAGACATAATTGAGGTGTCCACTGTTGATTTGTGTAGAGTTTTTACATACCTCACTTTGAAGAATTTTGTGATCTTTATTACTTTAGAAGTTAATATTGAGAAGTAAGTCTGATAGAATGAGTAACACTTCTAGTAAAAGTTTCTGCCAAAATTAAAATATTGTGTCTTTTGTACAGTAAAATCCTGACTTCAAAAATTGATTTTGCTGTTTACTTCAGAAATCGACTTCGCTGTTCCAGATAAGTTTAGCATGCTATTGGATATATACATTGAAACAAAATTCCTCTAAAACGGCAGTTTCAGTCACCATGTGGATGCTAAAATGCCATCCTGTTATTGCAAAGTATTTGTAAATGCTTCTTATCCGCATATATTTCTTCTAATTTGTATCATAGTGAAGTGGAATTTAGGGGTTGTTTTGTTTGCCTAAATAAGAATGTTTCTTATGTTAGTCTTAAAACATGTGGTGTGCTCTACATTAAAATGTGAATTACTATTTTGCTTTCTTAGCAACTGAATCATCCCAATGTAATTAAATATTATGCCTCATTCATTGAAGACAATGAACTGAACATAGTGTTGGAATTAGCAGATGCTGGAGATCTCTCTAGAATGATAAAGGTAGGAATTAACTTTTTTAAAAAAATAAGAGCTTGTCATGTTCAACTTCGGCTTCTCATTCTTTGTGATCATCACTGGGTGAAATGTGGTAGGAATTAACTTTTTTAAAAAAATAAGAGCTTGTCATGTTCAACTTCTCATTCTTTGTGATGATCACTGGGTGAAATGCAGTGAAAATATCAAAATCTGTAGAGAAAAGTAAGGTGTTTAGTCTGATTTTTTTCTTTTTTTTTAGTGTATGCCAATATTGATGCAAGTATTTTTACCATTTTGCTCAGAATGTAAGTGGAGATGGGGCCATAAGTAGACTGAAGTTATATTAGCACTGGGGAGAAGAAAAAAAGCCTGTGAGGAAAAGCACTGTCACCATTTAGAACAATCCATTTTAATGGCATTCTGGATATTTTGGCAGAATTGTGTTTTGTGTTCCAATATTCTATTCTCAATAATAGCAGCGAAAACAGAGAACTGTGGCCATACAGCAGAAGTGTCTTCTAGATCTCGAACTTGAACTGCTAAAAATATATTTCATATTTCTTGGAGATCACATGAAGTGAGTTTACTGATATGTGGTTGTGCATTCTGGGTTAATTGGGTTTTTTTGGTCATATTTAAATGCCTATTTAGCTAATCAGTAAAATTTATCCAAGACCCATTGTATAAAATTCTGTATTCTAAAACTTCTTTGAGGTTTTAAACTGCCTTTTTTAATGTTTCTTTGTCATTTGACAACTACTTCCTCTTCTTCCATTCCCTTATTCCACTGTATCTTTGGTCTAGTATGTCCTTTTAGCATTTTTACTTGTGTGCACACCAGCATTATTGCTGTCAACACAGCACAACACCACTGTGGGCACAAACAATGCCAGTCAATTAGTGTTCACTCAGCAGCACCAGGCACAGAACACAGTTGGGCTGTTTTGCTTGGGACCTACATGAATAGAGAATGTTAATTTCTTCATTAATGACTTTCATGCTGTTTTTTTTTTTTTGAGCTTTTGAAGAATATTCCTTTCTAAATTGATAATTGTGAGGTAGGACAGTCAAAATTTAGTTCTAAGCAGGTTGACAGCGTCTGTTAATATTTATAGCCAAATGTGATATTTTTCTTCATCTCATGAATTATTAATTCTGTGGGCTTACATTTCATAAAACATAAAGGGAGGTTTGTCTTTTCTTTTGAATGTTCAGTTTTGACACAACAGTTACTAATATGAGTACTCCGTGACAGATTGCCTTATGGCATGTCTGGTCTTATGACCCACTGAAGCTTTTTGTTTTTTTCCCTTGCTTTTTTTTTATTATTTAATTTAAAATCCTATGTGTGACTTTTTCAGTGCAGTTGGCCTCATTACACCTTGTTCAAGTCGGTGGGTATTTCTTACAGGCTCGATCTTGGAGCACTTTGTGATTGTCCTCTTAACACAGGGATCATGTTTAATGTAGCAAACTTAGATTGCTGTTTGATGTTAATGACAGCCTATCAGGCTATTATTAAATATGTATGAGGTGTCACAATGCACTGTCTTCATGCTGCTGGTGGAGGAAATGATTTGGTAGATTACTTTGACAATATGAGTTTAAATGTGGGGCTTACCAGTCTTGAAAATGTATTTTAAAAATTGCCTGGAAAATGAATGATATGTAGTAGTATAGCATCTTCTTAGAAGAGTGGCTGCCTGTCACACTATTAAGGTAAATAACTATGTTGTGTTATCAAGACAAATAAACTGCTTTGTTTCCAGTGTTCTTGCTAGACTGTTGCTCTAAGTTGTTGGAGAATGTCGAGACACCCTTGGAACAGTGTTTGGGTACCAGGCTTGTGTGATTTTTTTAGAGGGGATCAAGGATGTTTCTGAAATTGTAAATGACCACAGCTTGAATGACACTAAAACCAATGTTAATGTGAGGCAAAACTACTTAATTAGTTTACTTAGGTATTTGTTATGACATTATTGGCACATCAGAGAATACTTACAAGGCTGCCTGCCTCACAGTGCACCTTAATGAATTCTTTAGTTCTTCCCTTAATGAACGACATCCTTACTGCCCCAGTTTTTATATTGTCCCTCTTGTCACCTGCGGATAATGCTCTCTTTGTCCCCATTGAGTAGGCAACTGAGGAAAATCATTTGGTGCATTCAGATGTATTCTAATAGAATTCATAGAATCTGCTATATGTCCAAAAAAAAGCAGCTGTGCATTGGCATTTACATATCACATAATGAAAGCAGAGGTATTTCGTGTTCTCTCTGCCACTGTTTTTATGTATGTACATACACAGATTTAATCCACTTTACCTTAATTATTTTTTAAATTGTCTCTGTCACAGGGAGATGTTTCAACATAGCCTCCATTCTCACAAGCAAGAGAGTTCAAAATTGAGGATTCCTTACTGAACAGCTTTTAATGGCCTGTTAGAATTCTTGAATGTGGCATATTGGCATACCAGTAAAACTGAGAGGGAAACATCAGTGAGGGGGAAATGTTTGTGTTTGACTCTCAGCTGCTTTTGCACTGCAGTGCCTCAGCACTGTGTAACCCCTCTGTGGCATGGTGAAGAAGGAAAAACTCTTGATTTTTCTGCCGCTGAATTAGATTGCTGGATACTATTACCTCCAAGATACTACAAGTAAATCATTATTAACTCTGGTGCTAAGTCCCAGTTGCTCATGGTCTGTTGTTTGTCTGTGGTCTCCACTGCAGAACATGTGATAGTGCGTGGCTGCCAAGGTTCAGGGTAGTTCATGAGAACTGGTGCTAACTCATAATACAACCTCCTTCTGCAATACAATAATATGTTGTAAGGCAACTTTGAGGCTTGGTCCCTTTTCTTGTTAGTCATGGTTCTCCTCTGCCACAAACAGTGACAAAGTGAAAATTTTCTGTGAGTTTTTTCATTTGTTTTCTTATTTTCAAGCAGCAGTTGATATATTGGATAAAGAAATTGTCACAAATAAAGAGGAATCTAGTAATTGAATAAAGAAAATACGTGATGATAATTCAGTAAAGAGCTAGTTCGTAAAGTCTGTCCTGAAGATGTTGGAACAAGAGAACTTGAATTGTTGTGCAGAATAATTAGCATATTATTTAAGGTTAAATATAAAATTAAATATCAATGTAAAATAGGCCTGCAAGAAGGGATGTTATCAAGGCACTAAAATCTTGGAGTTTTTTAATCTCAGAAGTTAACTTCAAAATCTGTTCAATTTCTGCAGTTATTTTTAGGTTCTTCTGGCAAATAATATTAGTACGCTGAAAAAAAATTGCAGACTTTAAACTGAATATGTCATGCAGATCTTAAGGAAGTTAATCATGTTTTGGAAACAAGCATAAAAGCTTTAATCTGAAAAGTTGAAAATATGTGTGTAGTCTTCTCAAGATAGATGAAAAATATCTTGAATTCTACAAAATGTCACCTAGGCACTTCAGCCACTCCTCAAACAGCACTTCTTGTGTGTATTTTTTCAACTTTATTTAAAGATAAACATACTATAATTAGCTGGGTAAAATAACAAGTATTTTAAAACATCAGTATGAAATTCTTATTGATATCTCCAGTTTCTATAGCTAGTACCAGTGAATTCTTTGTCCTTGAACTTGTTTTTTATAGCCTAGTCCAAATGCAGGAATCATCACTTCTTCTCAAGTAACTGATGCAGATCTAAATTGTTCCTTGCAGGAGCTGGAGCTCTGTTCAGACTTGTTTGAAATCTCATTGATTCTAATTTCAATATTTCACTAGTGGTGGATATTTTGAGCATCACTGTATGAAACTGCATCAGGCAATTTCTCCTCTCCACATGGTCTGGAATGCAGCCCCTGCTTCCCATGCCAAAGTAGATTGCTCTGGAGTTTGAGACTTCTTTGCAGCACTCTGAGGTTGGCTAGCTTACCTGTGTAAGGGCTGGCTGCCCTGGGTGCCTCAGAGCCCATATTTGCCCATTCTCTCTGCAGTGAAGCTGGTTGTGTTGCTGGGAATGGAGAATTGTCACTTGGTTTTTTCCAACTGTGTTCTGGTGGATTGCTGTCCTGGGAATGTGCTAGAAATGAAGAGATGGTTTTGCAGAAAGTAGGTTTTCTGATAAGTATTGATAGTACATGGTAGCTGTAGTTTGACTGTTTAATTGCAATAGCAGTAATTTTCTTTTGCTGTGATATTTGCAAGAATTTTGGGGATATGAAGTTAGGGAAACACTGTGTAGGGAAGAGGTGCAGTGTCAGAATTTAGCAGGCCAGGTGTTAAATTTTGCATGCCCTTTCCAGGATTTTGGGAAACCTTGAGCTACTAACTGAAGGTTATTGTTTGTTTATCTGTCTTTTTACTATCCAAAACATTGATTTAAAACTTGAGCAGTTGTAGGAGATAGTTGGTGTTCCTGTTTGGAAAGCTGATGGGAAAAATGATGGTTCCTGTGTATTTTGAATGGCAGTGTTGCAGAAGCTGTTTTCTGCCATGCACACACATTGTCCAGCAGGACTAACTGCTTGCTGCTAGGATTGCCAAATATTTAGTTGTGTGAGAATGTTTTCAGTTTGTCAAAATATAGCAATTTCCTACTAAAATGTTGCATGTCAATGCTTCATTATAATATCTTGCAGCCACTGAATCTGAAATATTCTAAGCCCCTTTGTGCCTTGAAACAGATATAAAACTCGGGGGATTTTTCTTACAGTAATGGCTGTGAAAATTTACTTAAATTTCAATTCTTCTAGCATATGTGCTTAACAGAAATTGCTGGAGCATAATTGCAGAAATGGAGAATTTCTGTACGTGTAGAGCTGTGTGAACCTGCTGCGTCTGTCGGTGCTGACACGACCTGCGTGACTGTCAGTGCTTGGTCCTGGAGTAGGACGGGTGACTGGAGTGGCTTTGCCAGAAATAGCCTTTTCTAGATGCTTTGGAATGGCTGAAGCTTTCCTGTGTGTGGGGGGTGTTTATTCTTTCTAACAACCTGGGAAAGGGAATAATCTGAGATGAATGTGGAGAAGACAGAAGA